AAATCATGGCCCACTAGGAATGTTTAACACCTGGGTAGGCCTCTGCTTATTTGCAAACAATAGCTAATTAACCAACAATCAACAGCAAGTAACTAGCTTAATCAAATCAAATGCCTTATAATTACCAACAGGAATTCAAACCTTGGGCAATCAGTAACCTTTTTCCTACAGATGAATCTTACCTGTAACAGTAGAAAAGAAAGCTCTTAGCACAACTCTTAGACAGTTGAAGCTTCTGTAAAACTCTCCAGAATATCTCCAACTAGACACTTAGAAACAGCACTTGGAAGTAGCACCAAGCTATATTAGACAAGCTAATGAGACCAAGCCTTATATAACTCCTTAAATCACCGCCCACTAGGAATGTTTAACACCTGGGTAGGCCTCTGCTTATTTGCAAACAATAGCTAATTAACCGGCAATCAACAGCAAGTAACTAGCTTAATCAAATCAAATGCCTTATAATTACCAACAGGAATTCAAACCTTGTGCAATCAGTAACCTTTTCCTACAGATGAATCTTACCTGTAACAGTAGAAAAGAAAGCTCTTAGCGCAACTCTTAGACAGTTGAAGCTTCTGTAAAACTCTCCAGAATATCTCCAACTAGACACTTAGAAACAGCACTTGGAAGTAGCACCAAGCTATATTAGACAAGCTAGTGCGACCAAGCCTTATATAACTCCGCTTAAATCACGCCCACTAGGAATGTTTAACACCTGGGTGAGCCTCTGCTTATTTGCAAACAATAGCTAATTAACCAGCAATCAACAACCAAGTAACTAAAGCAATCAAATCAAATGCCTTATAATTACCAACAGGAATTTCAAACCTTGGGCAATCAGTAACCTTTTTCACCACAGATGAATCTTACCTATATAACAATGGTAGAAAAGCTCTTAGCACAACTTCTTAGACAGTTGAAGCTTCTGTAAAAACTCAGAATATCTCCAACTGCACACTTAGAAGCAACACTTAGGTGAAACAACCAAGCTATATTAGCCAAGCTAATGACAACAAGCCTTATTTAACTCCTAAAATCACCACCCACTAGGAATGTTTAACACCTGGGTAGGCCTCTGCTTATTTACAAACAATAGCTAATTAACCAGCAATCAATAGCAAGTAACTAGCTTAATCAAATCAAATGCCTTATAATTACCAACAGAAATTCAAACCTTGTGCAATCAGTAACCTTTTTCTACAGATGAATCTTACCTGTAACAGTAGAAAAGAAAGCTCTTAACACAACTCTTAGACAGTTGAAGCTTCTGTAAAACTCTCCAGAATATCTCCAACTAGACACTTAGAAACAGCACTTGGAAGTAGCACCAAGCTATATTAGACAAGCTAATGACAACAAGCCTTATATAACTCCTAAAATCACCACCCACTAGGAATGTTTAACACCTGGGTAGGCCTCTGCTTATTTGCAAACAATAGCTAATTAACCAGCAATCAATAGCAAGTAACTAGCTTAATCAAATCAAATGCCTTATAATTACCAACAGGAATTCAAACCTTGTGCAATCAGTAACCTTTTCCTACAGATGAATCTTACCTGTAACAGTAGAAAAGAAAGCTCTTAGCACAACTCTTAGACAGTTGAAGCTTCTGTAAAACTCTCCAGAATATCTCCAACTACACACTTAGAAACAGCACTTAGGTAGCACCAAGCTATATTAGACAAGCTAATGACACCAAACCTTATATAACTCCTAAAATCACCACCCACTAGGAATGTTTAACACCTGGGTAGGCCTCTGCTTATTTGCAAACAATAGCTAATTTAAACAGCAATCAATAGCAAGTAATCTAATCAAATGCCTTATAATTACCAACAGGAATTCAAACCTTGTGCAATCAGTAACCTTTTCCTACAGATGAATCTTACCTGTAACAGTAGAAAAGAAAGCTCTTAGCACAACTCTTAGACAGTTGAAGCTTCTGTAAAACTCTCCAGAATATCTCCAACTACACACTTAGAAACAGCACTTAGAAGTAGCAACCAAGCTATATTAGCCAAGCTAATGACAACAGCCCTTATATAACTCCTAAAATCACCACCCACTAGGAATGTTTAACACATGGGTAGGCCTCTGCTTATTTGCAAACAATAGCTAATTTAAACAGCAATCAATAGCAAGTAATCTAATCAAATGCCTTATAATTACATACAACAGGAATTCAAACCTTGTGCAATCAGTAACCTTTTCCTACAGATGAATCTTACCTGTAACAGTAGACAAGAAAGCTCTTAGCACAACTCTTAGACAGTTGAAGCTTCTGTAAAACTCTCCAGAATATCTCCAACTAGACACTTAGAAACAGCACTTGGAAGTAGCACCAAGCTATATTAGACAAGCTAATGACACCAAGCCTTATATAACTCCTAAAATCACCACCCACTAGGAATGTTTAACACCTGGGTAGGCCTCTGCTTATTTGCAAACAATAGCTAATTAACCAGCAATCAATAGCAAGTAACTAGCTAATCAAATCAAATGCCTTATAATTACCAACAGGAATTCAAACCTTGGGCAATCAGTAACCTTTTCCTACAGATGAATCTTACCTGTAACAGTAGAAAAGAAAGCTCTTAGCACAACTCTTAGACAGTTGAAGCTTCTGTAAAACTCTCCAGAATATCTCCAACTAGACACTTAGAAACAGCACTTGGAAGTAGCACCAAGCTATATTAGACAAGCTAATGAGACCAAGCCTTATATAACTCCTTAAATCACCGCCCACTAGGAATGTTTAACACCTGGGTAGGCCTCTGCTTATTTGCAAACAATAGCTAATTTAAACAGCAATCAATAGCAAGTAATCTAATCAAATGCCTTATAATTACCAACAGGAATTCAAACCTTGTGCAATCAGTAACCTTTTCCTACAGATGAATCTTACCTGTAACAGTAGAAAAGAAAGCTCTTAGCACAACTCTTAGACAGTTGAAGCTTCTGTAAAACTCTCCAGAATATCTCCAACTAGACACTTAGAAACAGCACTTAGAAGTAGCACCAAGCTATATTAGACAAGCTAATGACACCAAGCCTTATATAACTCCTAAAATCACCACCCACTAGGAATGTTTAACACCTGGGTAGGCCTCTGCTTATTTGCAAACAATAGCTAATTAACCAGCAATCAATAGCAAGTAACTAGCTTAATCAAATCAAATGCCTTATAATTACCAACAGGAATTCAAACCTTGTGCAATCAGTAACCTTTTCCTACAGATGAATCTTACCTGTAACAGTAGAAAAGAAAGCTCTTAGCACAACTCTTAGACAGTTGAAGCTTCTGTAAAACTCTCCAGAATATCTCCAACTACACACTTAGAAACAGCACTTAGAAGTAGCACCAAGCTATATTAGACAAGCTAATGACACCAAGCCTTATATAACTCCTAAAATCACCACCCACTAGGAATGTTTAACACCTGGGTAGGCCTCTGCTTATTTGCAAACAATAGCTAATTTAAACAGCAATCAATAGCAAGTAATAATCAAATCAAATGCCTTATAATTACCAACAGGAATTCAAACCTTGTGCAATCAGTAACCTTTTCCTACAGATGAATCTTACCTGTAACAGTAGAAAAGAAAGCTCTTAGCACAACTCTTAGACAGTTGAAGCTTCTGTAAAACTCTCCAGAATATCTCCAACTAGACACTTAGAAACAGCACTTAGAAGTAGCACCAAGCTATATTAGACAAGCTAATGACACCAAGCCTTATATAACTCCTAAAATCACCACCCACTAGGAATGTTTAACACCTGGGTAGGCCTCTGCTTATTTGCAAACAATAGCTAATTAACCAGCAATCAATAGCAAGTAACTAGCTTAATCAAATCAAATGCCTTATAATTACCAACAGGAATTCAAACCTTGTGCAATCAGTAACCTTTTCCTACAGATGAATCTTACCTGTAACAGTAGAAAAGAAAGCTCTTAGCACAACTCTTAGACAGTTGAAGCTTCTGTAAAACTCTCCAGAATATCTCCAACTACACACTTAGAAACAGCACTTAGGTGTAGCACCAAGCTATATTAGACAAGCTAATGACACCAAGCCTTATATAACTCCTAAAATCACCACCCACTAGGAATGTTTAACACCTGGGTAGGCCTCTGCTTATTTGCAAACAATAGCTAATTAACCAGCAATCAATAGCAAGTAACTAGCTTAATCAAATCAAATGCCTTATAATTACCAACAGGAATTCAAACCTTGGGCAATCAGTAACCTTTTCCTACAGATGAATCTTACCTGTAACAGTAGTAAAGAAAGCTCTTAGCACAACTCTTAGACAGTTTAAGCTTCTGTAAAACTCTCCAGAATATCTCAAACTAAACACTTAGAAACAGCACTTAGAAGTAGCACCAAGCTAACTCAAACGTGCCAAGCAATCGTCCAGCATGTTAGTTTTGATTTGTAATTCTAAATTCTACCTGTGGTGCCTAAAGAAAGAGAATATTGATGGGAAAAAGTTAAATAATGGCTCACCATTTAATGAATCTATACATATATAATATATAAATACACATTTATTTTTTCACTTCTCCTCCTGTATTTCCCACTATTGACAACTTTTACTCACATGGTCTGTAAACCAAATGGCAGTTAAATGCGCTTATGAAGGTACTTCAAATATTAGGTAATATTTAAATTATGCATATATTTTTTGCAGTACACGAATTGGCTTCATTTTTGCACCCTCTTGGTTCATCTTATTTACATCCCAAATCAGTTTTTCGTTGTTGAAGTTCTTCCAATCCAAACCTTCAACAAGTGGCCAAAATTCATCCGTCTGTCACGGCTGCTAGTGTGGTCCAACACGCAGAAACTATGTAAACATATACATAAAAAAGGAAAGGAAATAAAAGGACAGAGCGTAAACCGGACCTTAGAATGGCCGGACTAATACGCTATAGATAGAGCATGGTCAAAGGGAAAGCCGAGGTCAAGGAAGCCAGAAATACTCAGATACCGTTAAAACAAGCCAAGTCAGGGGAACCAGAATTCAGAATAACCAGGGAAAAGCCAAGATCAGGATACCAGGAAGTCAGATTCACAAAGATAAACGCACTCTCAGGAACCAGGAACAGGAAACCACGACAGGGCAAGGAACTGGAGTGAATTAGGGATTTAAATATACTCTGATTGGTCAGTGGGTGTGTTGACGTCACGCGCACGGCCGTATACATTTGAGGGGCGCAGCTTGTGGTTTTCGCGACCACGTGGTCAGCGCCACCTTTGATTTGGGCACAACGCCCAGAAGACGCGGAGGAGCGGTTCCCGGCTCGCCGGCGAGCAAGTAAGCTCGCAATATCGGCGGGCCAGGAGCCACAACACCGTCCCCCAAAAAACATCTTATGAAAAAATGGCTAAGCAAAATTCATTTTCTGTCTGTGCACTAGCCTAATTATTAGAAGTAAATACTACAACATTAGAGGAGACTTAAAGCCAGATATTTCAATAATTTGCCTTGAGAAGATACTTGCTTTACAGTAGATGAATATGTCTGATTTGACCTAATAGGAAAATGAGAAAAATCCAGACACACCATTCGATACAGTGAACATGGTAGAAACAGTGTTTGACATGTTCCTTGGAGGTGCAGAAACTATAGCTCTTTCATTAAATTTTGGCTTTTTGATACTTATCAAATTTCCAGAAGTTCAAGGTATGCAGAACTATATGTAAAAATGTTCCATAGAGCAGAGGTGCCCACTCTGTATAACGCCTTCTCGAACTGCTCCTGTACCGAATGCCTATAACTCCTCCTCTAGCTGCATGTATACCCGCTCTCTATAAGCCTTTCTCTAACTTTCCTATACACCCTCTCTCTAACCCTTCCTCTAACTACTCCTATACCCATTCAGTATAACTCCTCTACTAAGTGTTCCTATACCCATTACCTATTCCTACAACCCTCTCTCTGACTGTTCCTATACAACATGGACCTCTATAGGTTTTTATTCTTTGAATAATATATAGCATGTCTGAATGAAGAGATTGACCAAGTCATTGACTGAGCTCGAGAACCAGTGGTGGAAGACAAGAACAATACACCATATCTGAATGCCTTCCTCCATGAGGTTTTGAGGTTCAGTGATGTCCTACCAATGGGTACTGCTCGACACGCCACAAAAGATGTGAATTTCCGTGGCTTCCTCATTCCCAAGGTAATGGGTATTCTTTTATGTATGGTATATAAAAGGTACTTCAATTCAAATCAGGACATACTAGGTAAATATTCTGTGGAATAATAACATTTCTGGATGAGCACACAGTTAAAGCACAGGTCTGTAAGCATTAGGAAAAAATATTTAATTGATTTCATTTTTGATTACCATAACAATGTTTTGCATAAAACTATGTTTGTAACTGATTTTACATCCATAGGGTATTAAAGCACTGTTTAACACATAGACACATACCTGGCCATGCTGGGCAAGTAATGCTTCAGAAAAGCAAAAACAGTCTAACACTTAAAAGTAAAAAGGTTGTCTCTGGGCACTATAGCTACTTTACTGACCTTTTGGAGTGATGAGTGGTCCTTTAACCCCTTAAGGACACAACTTCTGGAATAAAAGGGAATCATGACGGAATATTCCCGTCATGTGTCCTTAAGGGGTTAAACATCTTATATGAAACCCATCTTAAATAAAATCAATTTTTCAATCTGAAAACAAATTGTTTTGGAATCGAGCATTTAGTTTGTGATAAGGTTTGAATGATTAATGTAACGACCAAGTATATACACAATAATAAAGGTGAGAGTGATATCTTTACTGGCCATCTAATTGTAGAATAAAAAAAAAAAATCACCTGCACACAATCCCAAATCACTATTCACACTATATACATTTAAATAACTGGAGGTTTTTGCACACTGCCTTTTATACAAGTTTCCCAACAAGGTTGATGCCCAGGTTGACCTTATTGGGCACAGAACACAAAGTATACAAGCCAATCAAAACAATGTAACAATGAACGACACTCCCACATACAGTGCACAATCCCTCCCCTCTGCCTGTGATACAATTAAGGTAGATAATGCAATAACTTAATTATTCCTAGACAGAAAAAACACATATTTTTATAAAGTCCAATAAGTACCCCAAAATACAACACATCCCCTGATAGCCCTGATCTGGGTGAACAACATATCCCAAAATCACCAAGATCAGAGCAAGGGTTCAGAAAATTCCTTTTCGACCGACCGCACGCATGGTTTCATGCCCAAAACAATTCCAGAGAATCTGGGCTTGTGGCCGGTCTAGTTTGGTAGTTTGCAAATGAACAAACTACCGAACAGAGTCAATACAGGGAGTGCAGAATTATTAGGCAAATGAGTATTTTGACCACATCATCCTCTTTATGCATGTTGTCTTACTCCAAGCTGTATAGGCTCGAAAGCCTACTACCAATTAAGCATATTAGGTGATGTGCATCTCTGTAATGAGAAGGGGTGTGGTCTAATGACATCAACACCCTATATCAGGTGTGCATAATTATTAGGCAACTTCCTTTCCTTTGGCAAAATGGGTCAAAAGAAGGACTTGACAGGCTCAGAAAAGTCAAAAATAGTGAGATATCTTGCAGAGGGATGCAGCACTCTTAAAATTGCAAAGCTTCTGAAGCGTGATCATCGAACAATCAAGCGTTTCATTCAAAATAGTCAACAGGGTCGCAAGAAGCGTGTGGAAAAACCAAGGCACAAAATAACTGCCCATGAACTGAGAAAAGTCAAGCGTGCAGCTGCCACGATGCCACTTGCCACCAGTTTGGCCATATTTCAGAGCTGCAACATCACTGGAGTGCCCAAAAGCACAAGGTGTGCAATACTCAGAGACATGGCCAAGGTAAGAAAGGCTGAAAGACGACCACCACTGAACAAGACACACAAGCTGAAACGTCAAGACTGGGCCAAGAAATATCTCAAGACTGATTTTTCTAAGGTTTTATGGACTGATGAAATGAGAGTGAGTCTTGATGGGCCAGATGGATGGGCCCGTGGCTGGATTGGTAAAGGGCAGAGAGCTCCAGTCCGACTCAGACGCCAGCAAGGTGGAGGTGGAGTACTGGTTTGGGCTGGTATCATCAAAGATGAGCTTGTGGGGCCTTTTCGGGTTGAGGATGGAGTCAAGCTCAACTCCCAGTCCTACTGCCAGTTCCTGGAAGACACCTTCTTCAAGCAGTGGTACAGGAAGAAGTCTGCATCCTTCAAGAAAAACATGATTTTCATGCAGGACAATGCTCCATCACACGCGTCCAAGTACTCCACAGCGTGGCTGGCAAGAAAGGGTATAAAAGAAGAAAATCTAATGACATGGCCTCCTTGTTCACCTGATCTGAACCCCATTGAGAACCTGTGGTCCATCATCAAATGTGAGATTTACAAGGAGGGAAAACAGTACACCTCTCTGAACAGTGTCTGGGAGGCTGTGGTTGCTGCTGCACGCAATGTTGATGGTGAACAGATCAAAACACTGACAGAATCCATGGATGGCAGGCTTTTGAGTGTCCTTGCAAAGAAAGGTGGCTATATTGGTCACTGATTTGTTTTTGTTTTGTTTTTGAATGTCAGAAATGTATATTTGTGAATGTTGAGATGTTATATTGGTTTCACTGGTAATAATAAATAATTGAAATGGGTATATATTTGTTTTTTGTTAAGTTGCCTAATAATTATGCACAGTAATAGTCACCTGCACACACAGATATCCCCCTAACATAGCTAAAACTAAAAACAAACTAAAAACTACTTCCAAAAATATTCAGCTTTGATATTAATGAGTTTTTTGGGTTCATTGAGAACATGGTTGTTGTTCAATAATAAAATTAATCCTCAAAAATACAACTTGCCTAATAATTCTGCACTCCCTGTAGTCTTACCCAGGAGCTTGTTCCCTTCATCTAGACAAATGATCTCACTGAACAGTGCCCTTCTAAGCTGAATAGAAACGAACGCAGGCGTTCGGAAGTTTCTGTAACCGATTTCAGTTCCATGAGATTTATGCCCAAACACCGCTGCCTGCGTTCATGCGAACAAGATGGGCACCACCTTGTGGTTGTTCATAGGAATCGCGGCCACCCAGGCGAACAATTGGAACACTGCGGTGAGAAACGTTCCGAGTTGTTAATAGGTGTTAACAAGCTCCAGGGTGGTCTCTGTTCGTGCGGTTGTTCGGTAAACTAACCATATAGTCCCAATTGCACGAACAGAGTCTGTTTGAAGTATATTAGCCAGTTCTATTGAACTGAAATTATATATTAGCCAGTTCTATTGAGAGGAAATTAGGCATTACATAAAAAAAAGTGCGTAACAGTATCTCTTCAAGTTAATGTATCAACATGTCCCATAGCTCCTTCTGTCTGTGTCACCCTGCAGTGGGAGGGACAGACTCAGTGTCCCATGGCTCCCGTCTGTCTGTGTCACCCTGCAGTGGGAGGGACAGACTCAGTGTCCCATGGCTTCCGTCTGTCTGTGTCACCCTGCAGTGGGAGGGACAGACTCAGTGTCCCACATATCCTTCTGTCTGTGTCACCCTGCAGTGGGAGGGACAGACTCAGTGTCCCATAGCTCCTTCTGTCTGTGTCACCCTGCAGTGGGAGGGACAGACTCAGTGTCCCACAGCTCCTTCTGTCTGTGTCACCCTGCAGTGGGAGGGACAGACTCCGTGTCCCATAGCTCCTTCTGTCTGTGTCACCCTGCAGTGGGAGGGACAGACTCTGTGTCCCATGGCTCCCGTCTGTCTGTGTCACCCTGCAGTGGGAGGGACAGACTCAGTGTCCCATGGCTCCCGTCTGTCTGTGTCACCCTGCAGTGGGAGGGACAGACTCAGTGTCCCACAGCTCCTTCTGTCTGTGTCACCCTGCAGTGGGTGGGACAGACTGTGTGTCCCATAGCTCCTTCTGTCTGTGTCACCCTGCAGTGGGAGGGACAGACTCAATGTCCCATAGCTCCTTCTGTCTGTATCACCCAGTGGGAGGGACAGACTCCATGAGAAAATAAATAAATAAACACATACACACACACACACACACACACAAACAAGCTAATAAATAAATGCGGATTATTAAATAAAGTTACAATGAAATTAAGTGCATCAAATTTAAAAAAAAAATGACAAGAGTGCAGTGATAAAGTGAGCTAACTGACCAATTGCAGCCCTTATGTTTTCATCATACAGTGTGTAAGCTAAACAGTAGAAATAGATCTGATTTACAGTGTTCGAGCCACAGGCAAATTTATTTGATCAGAGTTACAGAGCAATATTTCAACCTGCTATGAGGTCTTGACAAAGAAACCCATTCACCTGTTGGAAAGCATTGAGTATGGTTGATTTCTCTCCTTAATTAAGCTGTCGTTACAGGTAGGAGAAACTGTGTTGGGGAAAGCTTGGTACGGATGGAAATCTACATCTTCTTTGTGACCATCCTGCAAAAATTCACCCTCAAGGCTACTGTGGATGCCAAGGATCTGGATATTAACCCAGTCGAATGTGGGTTTGAATCTTTACCCCCCGTTCATGAAATAATTTTTATACCTCGAGAGTAAAGGAGGAAGGATCACTAACGATGCAATGTTATTTCTTTTCTTTCTTCTCATTGAACCAATGTTTCCTCTTGATTATAAAACAAGTGACATTATAATTAGCACTAATTTGTATTTCTTTTAATGAGGACGTGTCACTTTCCAGGATTTTTAATACTATGTTTGCTTATCAATGTATCTACCAAATGTGCATTTCTGAGATATGAGAAATAAATGTAGAAATCCGAACATCTCTATCCTGCGACTGGGCACCTCCATCTTCTTGTCAATCATTGCTTTAAGTTCTGCCCTATGTTGCTGGCAGTCAGCATAGAGAACGTGTACGGAGAGAAATGAAACATTGTAAAATTCTCAGATGCAGATAAATATGAAAAACAATCGGACGAGTATGGCAAAATATAGTGTAGTATTTCAATTAATGAGAGAAAGAAATGCGCTTACAGAGTGTGGAGCTCAAACTAGCTCCACTTTTATACATTTCCTATCTGGTGTGTTCTTTTTTATCTAGTAATAAGAGATAAAAAGCAAATCTAGTGTAGTATTCCTAAGTGCTGAGGTAGAATTAAATTAAAGAAACACACTCACAATATATAGAGCCTCTCTCTGGCTCTAAGAAAACAGTTTAGAGGGGGGAAAAATAGTGCTCACTATTAAGGGGTAAAAGATAATAAAAATATATAAAAGAGGTACTCTCATTTGTGGAGTAAAAGTAGGTTTTGCTCAGTCCTCTGGGCTCAGGTGGTATATACCTCACTAAAGGGAACATATTCAAGCTACAAAGAATCAGTCAGGGTAGGTCCAGAGGTAAAATGTATAAAAACGTGTTTATTAAAGTAATGGTTATCTTAAAAAAGAAAAAATATAGTAATATAAGCAATATAGGAAAATACTAATGCCATAGAGGCTTTTTCAAAGTATTCCATACATCTGGACAAACACAATATGTACAGGGATCACAATTTCAATTTTAACAGTCACATGATATCATAGTCATGTGATCAAAAATGAATTATCTTTAATAAAATTTAATATTTACAATTTTATAATTTAATATAAATACACACGTAGTACAAGAACAGTTAGCCAATTGGTGACATAAAAATTGAAACATGTATATATTATTAAATAAGTAAATGTTAAAAACTTGGGATATAAAAAAACAAACAAAAAATGGCGCAGTCATTCTAATTACGTGATCAGCACGGTCGCATATAGTGCTCTAATGAAAATACATATAATAGTACCCTGGGCTTAGGAGGTGAGCTGAGGGTTAGAAATAGGAGCTTAAGCAAGGGCTCCACTGGGAAATAAGCATCAAATTCTCTAGCGGCATCCTATGCCTATTTGTGTCTGACAATTTCCAAAAGAGAATTTCCCCTTCTCTACCTCACACATCTCATAGAAAAAGGTTAACACAAATAATAAGTTATTTCCATTTTCACATAACCCCTAGACTATCAAGCACTTTTTTGTTTGGATAAAAAATTAACTTAAGATTTATTTAAAACAAGGGATGAATGGCTAGCACACAAACATATACAGGGTTATTTACAAAGTCTGAATGGCCCTGTCCTGAATGGGGCAAACCCATCTGACTACATGCAGGGGTATTCGGACTGCAAAATTCAGACATTGTTGATGGACTTCAACAATATCCAGGCCCGGAAACAGGCCTGAGTTCAGTATGGATTTCACCCGGACTGAACAAATGTATTTAGAACATTGGGCAGACTAGATGGGCCGAATGGTTCTTATATGCCGTCACATTCTATGTAATGTCTGAATTCCGATCCAAATTCTGCAAATTCAGGCTTGAAGGCTTCAAATCATGGCTTAAAATCAAAAAAGTTAACTGTAAAGGATCCTTCTGTTCGTGCAGCGATGATCCTTGCAGCTTCTCCCGAAATCCAGTTGAAACGAAGTGATTATAACTCCCAATCCCCCAAACATGAGTCGAGACTTCATGAACGGGTAAAACGATCTGATTTACTGTGGGCTACCCGCCCGGTATTTATGCAGGTCTCCCACCTGGTGGACACTCCCCTAGGGGACCAGATGGAAGACTGGGACAAAAGTATCACAGTAGCCAATCACAGTGGCTATAGCATAAGCACTCCCCTTTCCATAAATCACTCACTCTTTTCCATCCTGGAGATAATTAACTTAAGGTAGCAAAGAAAGCCTTAATTATCTCCAGGAAGAAAGAAACATGGCTTTTCTTAGTTCAGCAAAACAGAATAAAAATCTATAACTTTCTTTTTTACACAACATAAACTTTAAGTTCCACATATCCCCAGATAGCTTGGATCTGAGTACATATTCTAGGCGAATAGCGCTCAGATCCCACGAACACAGTTCTCAGAATTGGCGACTGAAGTTTGACTTTCACCGGCCGTTCGTGTGTTTGTAGCCGACTACAAGTTCCATACTATAGCTATCTGGTGTCGGTCACTTTCGCATACTTTCAGCACACGAATGAAGTAGTATCCCCTTCATTCGTGTATTTTTCCACCATATGAACGAGAATGGGAGGAAGTAGCAGCAGTGTTCGACAAAATAAGTAGCCGAAATCAGTTCCAGGGAATCCTCGCCATTTACCGCTGAGCGTTCGACAATACAAAATGGCGATTGCCACGTGTTTGGTAAACGAATGCGGACCACCAGCTATTCCCCAATTAGTCTGTGGTTAACCGCAACAGTCAGGATGGTCAATAGGGGCCACACGACCTCAGTGGGAGGTCGGTGGTTAGGTAGTTTATTCGCTTTTATGGCTATTTTAACGAAATCCCGCTGTAATCCTCCAAATAACCGAACAGGCTTGTTCGTATGGTCTGTAAATAAGGGATTTCGTTACATTAACTATTTGCCCACTGGTAGCACTAGAGGATAGAGAGCAGAGCGAGCAGTGCTAGGGTTAATTATGTGGCGGATTCATATAAAACCTATAGCACTATAAAAATGTGAGATGAAATGGCTCTAATAAGTGCCCCATCAGGTGGGGGCTACTCTAGTATTAATGGAGGGGGAGGATCTATTGCGTTCCCCCGTCCCCCACCAATGGACATTAGGGACACTAGCAGTAATAATATTAAGGGAAGGACCTAGCTAATTCTAAAAAGGAGGAGTGGACAAACCATTGTCAACCCCCCAAATAATAGCATGTCACTCCCTTCACCCCTGCATGACTATGGCTCCCCAATGCCCAAGCCACCCCACCATAAAAATAAATTACCTTACCTACCCACAGTAATAGTGTGGGGGAGCAACTAAACTAATGGCTGTTGAAAGTCTTCTTTCTTGTAGTTTCTTGTAGTTGTTCTTATGTTCAGTGTCAAAAAAGGCAACATTAAAATCCACAATTCCCAACATCACTAATTAAAATAAAAATTAAAAGCCTATCACAAAAAACAAACAAACACAATGCATTAAAAAAAATCAAACTTCGCTCAGGGAGGGCTTGTCCCAGTATGAGCTCTAAAACCTTTCCCACGCTATGTCAGCTATCACAAAGTATTGGAAAATTTCCCACAGTTTGGAATATGTTTTTATTTATTTCCTTTTCTGCCCTGGATACTCTGGGTTAGCCGAAATGATGTTTTACACTCGGACAAGTCACAGCTGCGAGGGACTGACTCCCTGTTGTGGTTACTGTTTTTCCTGAACCACAAACAACAATTTGCTGCTTTGCATATCCACTTTGATATTATGTTACTGTTTCACATTAACTGCTAGCATTATGTAATGTTTTAGTCTTAAAACATACTTTTATATGCTTTATATTTAGCACCACTTCTGGTATAAATTACACAAAAATTCCATTTCCCGCATATATTAAATGCAGAAGAACGTTATTGTGTTTTCCTCCACTAACTATAGAAATGATAATATGAAGAATTATGGGGTCCCCTAATTCACCCACATCAATAAAGGCTTAATGGCATCAGTATAAAATGCACTTTACTCTGCAGAACTTTCAATAGGGCAACGCCATCACCCCTTGATGTTTTGGGCGCACTCAGGTATGACAGATTCACCTATATTGCTGGTTCATCTGTTTCCCCTTTATTTCGCTGGATTCCCTGTTCGTATGCCCCTGTTCGTGAAATTACAAAATGCTGATTGAAACTACCGAACGAACGACCACCCAGGAGAGAAGTGTTCTGCTGGTTAACCTCTTGGCCCCAATTAGAACGTTGTGGTTAACCGTAGACACCTCTCCATTCCATTCGTATGGGTGGTCGTCGTTCGCATGTCGACCACGAGGCAGCGGCCATTTTCGGACACGAGAAAGCGAAGCGGTGTTCGGTATAAATTCTATGGAACTAAAAATGGATACTTTATTCTACCGAACACCGCTGGAAGCTGATGCCCCCCTTCTATTTCGTCGAGGCATACGAACGCCGGTCTGTTCGGGAGTTTTATGCATTCGTATGGACCTTTACCCAGATAGCCGTCCCATGGAGTCATTCGTATACCGAAGGACTGGTGAAAGACTTTGACTCCATGTCGATTCGACTAGATACATCGGATCTGAGCGCTATTCGGTGGAAATATGCACTCAGATCCAGGCTGTCTGGGGATACGTTATACGAACTATATTCATTCGGTATTTTCTAAGTTATGTATTTTAATGTATTTCTATTACTGTATTTTAAAATGGCGATGGTCTCTATCCTAGGAGATAATTAGGTTTCTTCCCAATTATCTCCGAGGTAGAGAAGACGGATTTATGGGTAAGATGGGAAGGGCTTATATTGAAGCCACTGCGATTGGCTACTGTACAATATGTTTTACAGTCTTCCACAAGGTCCCCTCGGGGAGTGTCCACCTTGTGGAGACCTGCATAAATACCGGGCAGGTAGCCCCCATTAAACAGAACCTTATTTGACCCTCAAGACGGAGCTTGGTCTCGTTTGTGGGGGAATTATTACTGGGACAGCGCTTTCATTATTTTTAGCTGTGGAAGGCGTTCGACTGTTTTGCTGATCGGGAGTTGCCGTGTTGGTGAACTTCGTTCGGGAGTTTGGCGGTCGGCTGGATATAAACTGCATTTCTGGAGAAGGGGATTATTCACTAAACGGCGGCTTCATCTACCTGGCGGTGAGTGTCTTAACATCAGGTATCTGTACAGAAATGCTATACTAGCATATTTCTAATTATGTTTATATTAAACTGCTGAGGGGGGCTGGGAGGGGTTAAATGGATTT